AGTTAATGGTTGTGATCGTGCCTATGATGGCTAGTCAGGCGATAATTCGAGTAAATGACAGATTAGCCATTGTGCGGAACATGACGATGGCAAAACAAGAAAAATCGTAAGGATTTAAAACTTTTTAAATTTAAGATTTAATATTCAGTTATATGTTATCGAACTAATATATTATTCTTTCGGTTGTAGGGGCGATTATGGCTTATTTGCAATAAAGTACATAGAGTTTTTGAGCATTGGTCGCAATGTTGATACAATAAATCAGTTTTGGATTGATATGTGGAGGTATAAATTAGCTTGCGACTTGTATAAATATAACTGTGATCCTTAGTGCATTCTATTATTTTATTGAAATGTAAATGTTGTTTACTTTAGTATGATTCGTGTTGTAATGTAAAATTTTTTTAAATATTTAATTAACAAAATATTATTATTTTAATTTACATTGTTGTTGTGTCTGTAATCTCTCCATATTAATTTATATCGTTGTCTCACTTGTATTAAAAGAAAAAAATATTATTATTTTCATTTACATAAGTAATCGAAATATAGCAATCAAATATTAAATAAACAATATACACACTAAGATAATTAACAAAATATAATCTTTAAAGGAATATAAATAATCAAATATACGTGCCAAATGAAGATTATTAATGAAAGAAATACTTAAACGAAAACTCGAAGTAAGTGCTATTATTTTTATTCAAATAAATAATTAAAATAAGTAATTAAATATGAAATAATTAATTTTTTACTTAACCAATTAATATAATTAATTAAAGAAAAACTTAACCAATTATACATTTATTATACTTAACCTATTTTTTTATTCAAATATGTTGTTAGAAAGAGTAATTAAATAATGTGATTAAAATTACATCCGATTTAAATTGAGAAAATAAAAAAATATTACAAATAGAGAATACATATGATTTATATAGATATTACACATCTGTCGAGTCATTGTTTAGTGGGATCTGACTTGTACAAAATCGACGTGTATGCCCTGTAGCGCTGCACCTCCCGCACTTACGCAGTTGTGGAAACTCTTTTGTAGATGGTATTTTAGACGTTCGTCTACGACCAGGAGTACGCGGTTGAACTTCAGGTGGCAACAAATTATCGAGTGCTACAATATAATCAGGAACTTCCCACTCGGCTTCATTTGGTAGAGGAAATATAGTTTCGGCATAGACTGCTCTCCAAAAATCAACCGTGTAATAATGACTACATAAGCTGTGTGGTGGAAATCCTCCATACATAGCCATTGTGACAACATGCGCACATGGAAAACTCTCCAGCTGAAATTGTCTACACGTGCAGGTATTGTCATTCAAGTCTACAATATATCCAACATTACGCCGCATCTCACGGAGAAACGAAATTGATCTAGTGGTTCCACAAATAGAGCTTTTGCCACTTCCAGAGTTTTGAATAGTCGATCTTCCTGTAGCGGAGCTAGCACACTCGTGCAATTCTGGGATTCCTCACGTCGGTCATAAAATCACTGTTGCAACTTGCTACGAATATGTTCAATCATTGCGAGAATTGATAAGTCTCGATCTTTCTTGAATAATGCATTGAGGGATTCCGTATTATTCGACGTTATCATGTTGTATCGACGTCCTGAAAAATGTGACCGTACCCAACGTTCGACCCCCATATTTGATAGATATTCCCATGCACTTTCTGATTTATGTTCTATTTCGCCCATGAACTTCGTAAACTCTTCAAAACCGTAAGCTTCTACAGCTCTCCTAAACAATGCAACGATGCCACTGCCCGGTACCTATTTTTCAGGTTGCACTGAATATGGTACATGCAATAACCATGATGTGCTTCCGAAAAAACTTCGGCTATAGCATTTATTATTGACTGCCCCCGGTCAGTCACAAATGCAAGGTTCTCGATGTCCCCAATTACTTCTCTCAGTTTCGTGAAGAACCAACGCATTGTTCGATTAGTCTCTCCATCGACAATGCCAAATGCAAGAGGGTAAATTTGGATGTTGGTATCTTGACATGTAGCAATAATCAACTTCCCTTCATATCTAGCTTTTAGGACTGTACCATCAACTAGAATTAGAGGTCACATCGAATTTTGAAAACCTCTAATACATTGTCCAAGAGTCATAAAAAATACTTGAAGCGATTCTGCCCATCGATTTCAATAAAAATGTCGAGTCAGAATTAGTTCTCACTATATTGTGGCAATACCTGACCAATTTGGCATAACTCTCCTCTGTCGAACCCATTAAATCTTCCAATGCACATTCTTTTGCCTTCCAGACCTTCTGGTAACTCATAACTACCCGATACTCCCGACGGATGTCGTTGATGATATCTGTAGGTCTGTAAATCGTCCATGGGTCTTGAAACTTGTGCATTATCTGTCGACCAATAAACCATGATCGAGCTTGCCTGTGATCATTTTGACGAATACCCACTTCACAAGTATATTCCCGCGCATACTTGCGAACTACAAAGAACTCATTTGTGTCCATTTTTGTCGCTCTCAAACGCCAACTGCAATTGTTGTCCACACAAATAATTGTGTATGTAGACTTGTTTGATTTTTTTTTGACCTTAAACTCAAAATTATGTTTCATTGCAATTCGGTGCACAGCTTCTTGCAAATCTCTTTTCGTGTCAAACAATTGATTGACATGTAAATCTTCATCATCAGGAACTACACGCGAACAATTAGAAGACCGCATACTCGGCCCAGCATGTGAACTCCCACCAGACTCATGTCTCTGTCTGAATAAAGCAATCAAATCCTGATTTGTAAATGACCTTTCATCCTCGTTGTCTTGAACTTCCTCGTAAATCCTTTGTGTAACGGTGACATCATGGCCAGTAACACCTGTCCCGGGAATAACCACATCATCATCACGAGCAATCTCAACAGTATCCCAAAAATCATTCTCGTTACGATCCTCTCCGTCGAAAACTTCGTGTTCACTCTCGGGGACATTTTTCTTCAACAAAGTTACGCAAATAGGAGTTGTCTTTCGACCTTGGTTCAATTGAATTACATGCTTTATTTGCACTTCAGAAGTAACTTTCAAAGGTGGAATTGAAATTGTTGAATGCTTTTGAAATAAAAATCCCAATTCCATATCGTACTGAGAGGAATCGACGTTAAGCATGTTTTGTATTTCATTGTACATTTCCGTAAACGATGTATTTTTTGTTATCGAAATAGCAGCAACCCCTTCTCCTTCACTCGTCCATTTCCATTCCCATTGACCATTTTCTTTTTTTTGAAATTCGTCGAAATAACAGATTGGGCACATGCTTTTGCCATACCTGCATTACGAATTAAACAATTATCAGCGACATCATAGTAATCATAAAAAATATACTCAAGCTCGTTGTTCTGAAAGTGTTCCATAGTTTTTTACACTATAGAACACAATTAGTAACAAAAAAAAGAATCAGTAAGAAAATTTAATTCGATTGTTTATTTGAATAATTTGAATTAATATTTAATTCGATTTTTCATTTCACTATTTTTTTAATTAATTATCTTAATTGGTTAAGTAAGAAAATTATCATTCAATTTAATTTATTCTTTAAATATTTCGTTAATTACGTATATTATTCATTTCATATTTAATTATTCAATTTGATTATTTATTTGAATAAAAATAATAATATTTAATTCGATTTTTCATTTCACTATTTCTTTAATTAATTATCTTAATTCGATAAGTAAAAAAAATATTATTTAATTTAATTTATTCTTTAAATATTTCGTTCATTATGTATATTATTTATTTCATATTTAATTATTTTATTTCGATTATTTATTTGAATAAAAATAATAATATTTAATTTGATTTGTCATTTAACCATTTTTTAATTAATTATCTTAATTGGTTAAGTTAAAAAATTATTATTCAATTTAATTTATTTTTTAAATATTTTGTTAATTATATATATTATTCATTTCATATTTAATTATTCTATTTCGATTATTTATTTGATTAAAAATAATAATATTTTATTCGATTTTTCATTTTACTATTTCTTTAATTAATTATCTTAATTGGTTAAGTAAGAAAATTATTATTCAATTTCATTTATTCTTTAAATATTTCGTTAATTATGTATATTACTGATTTCATGTTTAATTACTCTATTTCGATTATTTTTTTAAATTAAAATATATTAATATTTTCATTTAAGTATTTCTTTAATTAATTACATTAATTGTTTCCATAATTAATTACTAAACATATATTTATTATTAAACATATATTTATTATTTATTTTGTATATTTAATTACTAAACATATATTTAAGTAAAAAAAAAAATTAAATTTCTATTTAATCTATCTTTAAATATTTCGTTCATTATCTTAACATATATATTATTTATTTCATATGTAATTACATTTTTTAACATAAAAATTAAAATTAATTCAGGAAAAAAAAGAAAAATTCGGATCTGGATCCGGACCAGGCACGCAGTGGTCCGTTATGGACCATTGACCATTTAATGGTCCGTATGGTCCGTAACAGACCATAATTCGTTCCGACGATCGGTGCCGGCCTTCACTTCGGTTCTAATATTATTTTCTCTACCATTTAAAAAAATATACGATTTCAATAAAAACAAAATTAAATACTAGGAAAAGATATTTATCGAATTAAAGTGCTGAAATTTAACCAAATATTTTTGTTGAGATTGATAATTGATAAGTTTATGAAATCTCGAGGTTGAAGTGGATGAAAAATGTAAGGATTTTTATCGTGTTAGAGTAAGCTGGTGAAAAGAGTGACTTCGTTTTCAAATTTCAATTGAGAGGTATTTGGATTTTAATTTGTAACTTAAGGATATTTTGATCTTTTTAACAAATTTTTATTTTTGTAATTGTATAACTCATTTTAAGGGTATTTTTATCTTTTATGCCATAATAGACTTTTATGGTGAATGTCAAATTTTTTTAGTTAAAATGAAAAATTGATTGTTTAACATAGCTAATATTAAAAGTACCATGGAGAAGGAATCTTTCTGCATCAACTATTGGGAGAGTCTAGAAAACAATTTCTAATTATAAAATTATATACAGATCACCGAACAAATAGTCTAGAAATTATTAGAAAATTTTCTCATCTCTCTCAATAAATTATCGAAGTATGAAAATGGCTCAGTTTAAGCCTCTGCTTGCCCTAATCTTCTTCTCATTGTGTTCGATTATACCTTTCACTTCTGCCAAATCCACTGAGGTTCATTACTGCAGTAAGTTCTCTTCTTTGTTTTGACTTTATTTATCACAATTTCGTTTGATTTCTTCGTTTTGTGCGTTGTTTTGATTGAATCCATTTGCGCGTTCATTTGAGTAGGGTTTAGGCTTTTTTATTTTAGTTCGTTATCTTTTGCTGAATCGAAAAAGATATAAATTCAGTAGTGTAGCTGTCCTTGTCTGTTGAATTTGTAATTCATGTATTTGTACTTGAGTTAATTTTTTGCCGTGCCGGTAAAATTGAATGTCTTGTTTAGAACTTCTTTTTCACCCATGCAAATTTTATTTATTTATTTATTTTTTAACGAAATCCAATGTAGAAATGATCATTAGGGATTTTTACCTCATACACCCATGTGATAATCAAAGGCAGAAAGAAAAGGAAAATTGAATTGTTCGGGGTATCTGGTTAATGTGGGACGAGGGTTTCTTGCTGTGTGAAGAATCTTCAAACTGGATATTTAGTCGTGGCAATGTGTGTTTAGTGTTGAGTTACTCAAAAGGAGATTGGACTGCTAAGTTATAGATTTTGCTATGTTTTCAAAATTGAAAATTTTGTGGATAATGAAGAAGTCAGAGAGTGACAAATAGAAATGGATTTCCATTGCCGTACATGTTATGTGCCCAAAATCAAAGCACTTACACAATCAATTTCCCAACTCGTCGAAGTGGCAGAATGGATATTTTGGTCAACTTGGGTGAGTTGAGGGTCAAGTTGGCTAAGTTGATTATCCATTCTGATGCAAAATTGACATTCTGTAAAGAAGGACATTTTGATTTACTAAAAACATGGCTAAAAGAAGTCTTTTAAAAATTGCTACTCTTTCTTCTTATTTTACTTTTGACTAATTCAAATTTTGAATGTAAGGATTCTGAACACGCTCAAGAAGCAAACTCTCTACATTGGACGCCAGCACTATTAGGGACTATCCAATATGTAATTGACAATCTATTTATCTAATTGAAAAGTTAAAATTGGAAATCTTGGTACTGGCCAAACACTTCTCAAACAATAATGGAACAATGCAAGTTAGAATGAGATAAAAATATCATTTACTTCAAATATGATCATACCTTAAATGTTTGTAGCAACTCACCAAGAAATTAATAATTTTGTTTATAATTCCATCAAGTACAATAAAAGATAAGAAAAATTACAATTTCTACAATCCTTAATGATATTTATTTTGTACGGTGAGGTTTTAACTGAAATTATACATTCATTTTTGAGTCAATATGTATAAGATTTGTACTAGTAGCGTAATGTAGTACATGTGAAAGTTATGCATACGTTGTAGTAGTTGTAAATATGCATATTATTTGTATTTATTCTTTATAGTTCCTCAATCTATCATGTTGTACCATTGGGAAAAAATGATACGTATAGATGTCTAGCTTCTTTGCTTGTAACCTTGAGCAAGATTCTTGAGAATTGTAGTTTTTGTTAATTCTGAGAAAATTTTGTTTCTTAGTTTTGCACTATACATTTCACCTTTTTCACTCTCCAAATAAATTGCAGATAAGAAAGCCAACTACCCTGTCAAGGTTAGTGGAGTTGAGATAAATCCTTATCCCATCTCCAGAGGCAAAAATACCACCTTCAGCATTGCTGCATCTACCGGTAATGGTTTGGTTTTTATGCTTCATATAATATCTTCACCTCATATATCAGACATTTCGGGACCCTTTCAATACTGGAACCTTTTCTGCGCATTAACTTTTGTAATCATTGAATTGTGTATTAGAACAAGGGACAGTGATAGCAAATTTTACGTGCCTCTTTTCCTTCTTAATAGCTTCTATGCGGTGTCAAATGGATGCGTTTGAAATATGTGTAAAAAGAATTTAGCACTCAGCATATACCAAAAAAAATGTTCTTAAGATTTCTGAAAGTTAAGACTATTTGATGGTTTAGGTGGTTGTTAGGATTAGTTTCTCTGTCTCTAAAAGCACATAATTTAATGTGGTAGAACTTCAATAAACTCCTATAATTCTCCTAGTTTTATTCTGAAAATTAAGCCCCTGCTTGATGCCATTATTTTGAAAAAATGGTGTTTTGAATAGTGATTTTTTTTGGAGAATGTGTGGTTAAAAAATAGAGAGTTTTTGGGTTTATGCGCAAAATATTTTATTGTGTGAATATGTGGTTGAAAATGAGTATGAGAATTAAAGAGTTATGTTTTAAAGGGAGACTAAAAGTGGCTAAATAAGTTACTAAATTTTGTGTCACAAAAGTTGTTTGACTTCATAGGACATTGATCACAGAACAAAGCACATTGTCCAAATGATGCTTGGACTTTCTTTGTTCATTTTTTTTTATTTATGGGTAAAGAAGGAAGCAGGATGTGCTTGATGCCTCTATTTATCAGTAATTCTTTCCTATGTCCTTTTCCTAATTTTTTATTTTAAACCAAAAATAAGCACGTGTTCATCATCAAGACTGGAGCTTCTGTTCTTGTTGAAATAATGTGAATTGTGAGAAGATACTTATGTGAAGCTTGCCTTGCAGAGGAACCAATCTCCGGTGGGAAGCTGACTATTGATGTTACATATTTTATATTTCACGTCTACAGTGAGAAACACGATCTTTGCTTGAAGACATCCTGCCCGGTTTCTGCTGGGGATTTTGTTGTTTCTCATTCCCAGGAGTTGCCTGGAATTACGCCTCCCGTAAGTTCCCTGTTCATATCAAAATTCCCCCACCCCAAACACCCACATCCAAAAAAAAATAATAATAAATAAAAATTGAAATTAATAAATAACTAAGAAAAAGAGAAGGGAAGAATTTACCAGAGAATCAGATATTCATTTGGCGACGTTCAAGAGCTTATGGTGTTTGACATGTGCAGGGTTCATACACACTTAAAATGACTATGGTTGACGCAAACAATAAGCAATTGACTTGCATTACTTTCGACTTCAGCATTGGATTTGTTGCACCAGAAAGCTTAGCTGATGTCTGATGATCAAGTTCTCGAGGATTTGCTCATCTTTATGGTCATTCCAGTCTTTGCATATTGTATAGACAGAAAGTTTGTATTTTGAATGTTCTTCATGTCGTATCTGTTTCTATTTCCCTGATGACATTGGATTTATGACTTGTAAACCACATTACGTTAAACTTTGGAGGTTGTGATTATATCTTCTCTTCTATTATGTTTTATTTTACTTCACTCTCTTGTCCGTGTCTGGGCGAACAAAACTTGCACAGGGGACTGAGAACTTGCAAGTGAGCTTTAGTTTAGGAGTTTTGCTGGCGTGCCAGGGTAGACTCCTCACAACAAGGGGTGAGTGGTATTTTTTGGGTAATTTTTTATACATGGAACCCACCTGGTGTGAATGGTCGGTAGGAGTTGTGTCCTGGTAAACCGGTTTAATCCTTTGTTTAGTGCAATCAGTCTACTAAAATATTCAACTATTTTGAGTGGATGGAGCCATCCGAAATTAAAATATCAAATTGTGAGTCCATGAGCACTAGATCTCGATTATTTGCAACCAACCAATAAGCAATGGTGGTATGCACACACTTTCTTCTGTCGTCAAGGTCGAACTAAAGATTTTTCTAGCTCGAGTCAAACTCTTAAGCTGAGTTCTCATATTGTATTACATTCAATTTTTTTTCTTCGCAAGGTTGAGTTCACCACAAAGTAGGAGGTAAATGAAAATCGTAGTTACCCATAACATAAATAAAAAATAATAATACAAGCAAATTTTCATACTTTTTGTTATGCCCCAATCTGAACTACCTCGGAATGTTCACCACCACACACTCCGATTTGCTAGACACCCACTCGAAGTGGTTCCGAAGTGATCTCCCCAATGTCAACGACCTGTTATCACACTGCGAGATATAGGCGATCCTGCTGAACTGATCGAAACGCCCTTGCCCCTGAGACCGAGGCGAAGTGCACTCCGGGACTTCTGTCAGAAGATTCGCCACCAATTTCAGAAGGAGATCTTTGCCAAGATCCTTTCTGCACCTAAGGTTTAAATTGATTTGACGTCTCCATGAGGCTAGTTGATGTGACTTATCAACTTTATGTCAACTCAACTCGGGAAAAACAATTACCCGCCCACTCTACAGACGTGGCTGATTGACGCATATGAGTAGACACCTTATACCGTCAGATGTATACACGTGCCCCACATCCAACGGTTCATCCCACCTATAAATACCCAAGGGTTGGCAAGAGGCCAAAGTAATGAAATTCTTACTACATAGCACTCCATAGCAAGCATATATATATTTTCTCCTCCCCCTTATTATTTTGCACAACCCTGGGTACTGTTCCGACCACCTGAACCTGACTTAACTGTCGGAGTGTATACGACCGCCACAACCCTCGCTGGTCCCGACCGTGTGCATCTGACCGTGCGTTGATTGTGCGTAGGGAGGAATACGTGGAGTAGCTCTCGGTTGGCCGTGTAAAAAGTCCAATTTTCAAGGTCAACAGATTGACGCGGTCCGTGGGAAACACTTCCCGTTCAAAGTTCTGCATTCTCCACTGGAGAAATTACCAGAAAACTAGCGACTAACCCTGAAAATGGCACGTTCTTGAAAAAGAATAAAGTCGAGTTATAATCCAAGTTTTCACCACCCTTGAAAAATGAGATAGGATGAGTTATAGCCATGAAGACGACAACCTCATGAGAGAGGCCTCTGAAGAGGAGGCGTTTCATAACAATTTTACTCACCAGAGACCCCATCACCGGCGTCGCCGAGGTGAAAGAACAGCCATGCTCACTGAAAGAATGACTCAAATAGCTGCGGGCATGAGAGACATCGCAGCTCAGAATATGGTGATGCATGAACTTCTCATGCAAGTCCGAGGTCACCAGGGCTCTCAAATGCCCCAAGGATCTTACCCATTACAGGAAGCCCCAGTATCTCGTTCCCGAGGCAACACTAGTCAGCACAGAAACGCCCCCTCAAAAGAGAAGTGGATGCTGAAGCCACATCTTATGTGCAAGGGAACCAGCTATCAGAACCACACTTGGGGGACAATTTTCCTCAAGAATATGAGGAACAGAGGTCGGTAAGCATCTTCGATCGGATAGGGAAGGATCCTAGCAATAGGGTCCGTCTAGTGAGAAGATCAGTTCGACCAGATCTGGAACAAGAACATGCTCCTCCTCCTCCTCCTAGAAATAGGAGGGACAGGAGGAACCTAGTCGATTGGGGAGTCGAGAAGAAGCACCTTCACCCTCCAGAACGTTCAAGATGATGAAGGGTTAGATGAGCCCTGTCGGTCTTATGAGATTGACGATGATGATGATAACCTCCCTTTCTCAAGGGAGATCCGAAGCTTCCCAATGCCAACAAATTTCATGCCCCCTAAGATCCCCAAGTATGAAGGAAAGGGGGACCCGGAGAAGCACCTCATCAAGTATATGACAAAAATGAGTCTCAGGGGAGCCTCGTCTACTTTGAAATACGGAGCCTTCCATTTAACAATAGGCGAAGCCGCCAAAGCGTGGTACAGTAGGCTTCCTCCCCTAAGCATTAGAAGTTGGCCAGATTTGAAGAAGGCATTCTTGAATCAGTACCTCTCGCGAAGAGAAGGAGAGGCCTTAGTGCAACACCTGCAAGACATGAGGCAGGCCCCTAGAGAGACGCTGAAAAACTATCTCGTCAGGTTTACGGACGAAATCACATACTGTGAACAGGTCACTGACAGAGAAACTCTTTCAGCCCTGAAAGGCGGCCTCAACATGAACACTTTGTTCTGGAGGGACGTGCGCAGCAATAATCCTTCCACCTATGACGAACTCGAGGAAATGATGAGAGTTGAAATCGTGAGTGAAGAAATGATTGATCACCGAAATCGTGCCGCGCAGGGACTCCCTCCGCCTCAGAGGCAGGTAGGTCGAGGACCCGCAGCACACCTTGTTACTCAGCAATGGACTCAAGTAGGACACACAATAGCTCCCACCTCCGGACAGGCACTGGCTTCTACCACACTAAATGCAGTGCTAGTATTGGCATATGAAAATGCTCCTGGCAAAGCGGGGCCATCTAGAAGAAACGATAGCAAGAAAAAGAAGAAGAAGCGATCAAATAGGCCCTTGGAAGGGGCAAGATTTTGCACTTTCCATCAACTTTATGGGTATGACACCAACGAATGCAGAGACGCTCCTCGACGCCCAGACCGGACCGACCCACACCCCTCCAAGAGGAATGAATATCCTCGCAGATCTGTCTCCCCAAACAAGGAAGATCGAAGGCACGGAGAGTAGTCATCCCGAAGAAGAGAATCAAGGGACCGAGGAGAGTCCGGGCAGAGAGATCAGACCCCATTTTTTCTGGGGGCCAAATCATCAGGAAAATCGACACCATCATTGGGGGACCCACATCGGTGGTAACACCAGGAATGCCCAAAGGAATTATACAAGGGAAGCAAAGGACCCACCAATGATCACTTACATTGTCAACGAGTCCCAAGAGGCCAATAGGATGGCCCCAATTATCTTCTCCTAGGAAGATGCGCAAGGAGTTCACCATCCCCATTGCGACGCACTGGTTGTGAGAGTCGTAGTAGCTAGAAATGGGCTCAAACGCATGCTCGTCGACAATGGCGGTTCGGTGAACATATTGTTCGGCTCCACCTTTGACAAAATGCAAATTGAATATGGGTTAATCCCCATGACCGACCACTATTTGGATTTACTGGGGACATCATCGTCCCACGAGGGCGGATCACTCTGCCCGTCGAGATGGGTTCGGCACCCCTAGTGATCTAACACTTCATGGAATTCTTAGTGGTAGACCACAGATCGGTCTATTATGGAGTATTGGGCAGACCCGTTTTGAAAGATCTTTGTGCCGTCACATCCATCCACTACTTGTGTATGAAATTCCCAACTGAACATGGGATTGCAACGGTCCGAGGCTATCAGATGGGCTCCAGGGCATGCTACTTAAACTCGCTGCGAAAGTCGGAGCCCCAAACTGTTAATGTAATCCTAACTGAGGTTCCCATTGAAACCAGTACAGAAGTGAAAATGCTCGACGCCCCTGAACAAGGGCATATCTCTGAACAAGAGGAAGACGTCGACATGGAAGAGGCCCCTGAACAAGGACACCCTTTTGATGAGTTAGATCCTCGAATAATTGATTCTAAACCAAATGCAACCCCAATGGAAGAACTGAAAACTTTCTCCGCCAACCCAGAAGACCCCAGTCAGGTCTTGCGTATAGAGAAGGCACTGTCCCCTGAAGCAAAAGAAAAGATGATAAGCTTCCTGAAAAGGAATTTAGATGTCTTCGCTTGGAAGCATGAAGACATGGTGGGAATAGATCTAAGGATCAGTTGCCACCATCTTAACATCAACCCCTCTCGTGCCCCCCATCCACAGAAGAGACGTGCCTTCAATCCGGAGAGGTACGAGGCACTAAAAGACGAAGTAAACAAGCTTAGCCGCAGTGGTTTCATGAGGGAAGCCATCTACCCGAAGTGAATATCCAACCCGGTCCTGGTGAAAAAGCCCAGCGGAAAGTAGAGGGTGTGCGTAGACCTCACAAACTTGAATAAGGCGTGCCCTAAAGACAGCTTCCCACTTCCAAGGATAGACCAACTTGTGGATTTCACTGCTGGACACGAACTGTTGAGCTTCATGGATGCATACTCAGGGTACAACCAGATACCCATGTTCCGACCTGATGAGGAAGCTACGTCGTTTATTACGGACAGAGGTCTGTACTGCTACAAAGTCATGCCCTTCGGATTGAAGAATGCCAGAGCTACATATCAGAGACTGTTCAACATGATATTTGCCAAACTCATTGGCAAAATCATGGAGGTCTACGTGGATGACATGTTAGTCAAAAGCCTCCAGGCAGCCGAACACGTAAGTCACCTCGACCAAATTTTTCAGATACTTAGAAAATATAAGATGAAGTTGAATTCCCTCAAATGCACCTTTGGAGTGGCTTCGGGTCAGCTCTTGTGATATATTGTCAATCAAAGGGGAATTGAAGCAAATCCAGTGAAAATAATGGCCTTGCTAGAGATGAGGTCACCTCAGAAACCAAAGGAGGTCCAAAGCCTCAATGGTCGGATAGCCACACTCAGTCGCTTCATCTCTAGAGCCACAGATAAAAGTTTGCCTTCTTCAATGTGCTTAAGTAAGGAAAGAAGTTCCAATGGACTTCTGAA